GAGACAGTTGTTTTTATTTTAACCCGTGTCCGACCTGAGAAAGCTGAGAAAGGGTTTGTTTTTTCAGATAAAGTCTTTGTTTTTCTACGTGATCAGCAGTTTGAGGACAACGTGTGCTGTTTTATTGAACCCTCATGGTGCCGAACAAATACACTTTCACACAGAAATCATTTAAATACATGCATGAGATTTGGCAACTGTATATTTTTTTTCTTCCTCGCACTAAAGCCGTAAGAAACGCTGCTCAGGGAAAGTACCCCATGATTAACAACAGACACACAGGAGCGGCATGTTGTGGTTTTTTCATTTTGGTGCTTGCTCAACATACCACAGCTCTGCCAGGCCTGGGATTCGAACAACAATCCTGCCATTTCAAGGCCAATCCTTTAACCACTGAGGCCCAACCCTTTGACTTTGCTTCACAGGGTGTGAATAGAAAAATGATTTTTAAGAATCTTGATCACAGCACAAATTAAATCTTAGACTTCATTATGGCAAGCTATTAATGTGATGATGTCGAAGCAGCTGTCAGTCAAATATTTAGTTAAAAAATAAACACAAAAGAATGAATGACAGTTTGGGCTGCAGGGCTTCACCAGTGATGGCAGGATAAATTATTACTTCCACTGAGCTAATCCCATCCATTCCAACTGTTTGTCAACAAACAAAAACATTTTCAGTTATAACTGTAACTCAAGTATAAAAGAAGCAGCTGAAGAACTTTCTTTAGACTCAGGGTCAAAAGTGACAACCAGTAGACTTTCATGTAGCCATATTTAAACCCATTCTTCTTCATCTTCTTGTTCCGACCACTTCCTTCAGAGGTCGCCACAGCAGATCATCTGCCTCTCACCCAGTCTCATCGTCTCCTCTGCCTCCTCTACCGTTAAACCAACCACCTTCACCTCTGAGGTCTTCATCATAAAGTCTATTAAAATTCAAATAGTTATTTCAATAAATGTGATTCTAATAACCAGGAATGTCGAATAATATCGGCCGACCGAGACTATCGCCCCGATATTAGCATAATTATGTAATATTTGTAAGAATCTTTATCATTTTCCCCTCCAATAATGAATTATTTTTTATTTATTTTACCAAATGATTTGTGCCCTAAAAATAGTTTGGGGGATAAACAGCTGTATATTGAAGCGAAGGTCACTAGATGGCAGCAATGCAGCTCATTTAATTAATCACATACTCATACAGCGGTTTGTACAGACAAATAAATAGGTCTGTATTGGTATCAGTTGATATCAGAATGGGAAATTAAGTGTTTAGACAATATCGGAGTATCGGATATCTGACATCCCTACTATTAAGCATAATTAGGAGAACCATGTTTCTGAACAGAGGAAGAGGCAATGGAAAGAGCACGAGGGCGAGAAATGTCGTGTCATCATCGTATGACTCACCTTCAGCTCTTTGTCCAGTTGTTTGAATTCTTCATCTTCATCAGAGTCACATTCGGGAAACTGGTACACTTTGATCCCAAACCTGTCAATTTCTTCTCGTATCTGAAATTACAGACACACACAAACTCACTGTGATCAGAATCAAATGTATGTGATCTGCTGTAATCCCAGTGATAATCCATCACAGCTAATCGTGAGCAGTTCTCAGACTTACCCTGTCTTTCAGCTTCTTTATCTCATTAGGTGTGAGACAGTCAGCTTTGGCGATCAGTGGAATGATGTTAACCTTTTCATGCAGAGCCTTCATAAACTCTACATCCACTGGACGCAGCCTGAGAAAACGGAAGTCCAGGATGAGAGGACGGAGCAGCACAGTAGTATTTTTTGTGTGAGTGTGTGTGAGTATTTACCCATGTCCAAATGGAGGGATGAAGTACAGGCAGCAGTGGACTCTGTTGTCTTGGATGTTCTTTCTGTTAAGTCCGCTCTCATCTCTGAAGTACTGCTCAAACTGCTGGTCAATATAGTCTGTGATGGGCTTCCAGCTGGGATACACACAAACAGAGTGCAACGTGTGGGTCACACACCACCTAAAAACACTTTCTACCAAACCTTTAAGTTATACAAACTCTTATAATCTTCTCAGATGTTTCTAAAGAGACGTGGTACTGTGGTCACCTGAAGTAATTATTGTCATTTTTTTTATCTTAAAATCTGGCCATGCTACGCAACTGATACAGATACAGTTTGGGAGGAGGGGCGGGATCAGCCTATTAGAAGAAAATCAATATAATATATTCAATATATTATATACATTGAAATAATATATTACTGTATTTTTCGGACCATAAGGCGAACTGCATTATAAGGCGCAATATCAATGAACGGGTCTATTTCCATACATAAGGCACACCGGGTTATAAGGCGCATTAAGCGAAAGAAAACAGTCAGCGATTATCGCAGATCAATAGGGATAGAGATTTGTGGAAACGGGTAGTGACCTAAGTTGGACACTGGAGGACGCTATTGTTTGCCCCCCCCCCCAGAGTCAGGCGGTTGTCACTATTTTTGTTCTGGGTGGTCACCGTGTTATTGTTTTGACGCTGTTCTGTGCGGCAGTGCAGACGTTATTTTGCAGAGAGTGTGTGTTTTGCCTTCATCGATAAAAAAAGGAGGAATAAAAAGAGATTTTGTCCACAACAAAATCGACAGCCATGCGTCTGAGTTGCCCTGCATGGCACCATACATCGACAATTAAAAAAAAAACAACTCAGAGTCTCCAGGTGTTGGGTAGAATGACGCGACGTTGCACGGATTTGGGTTACACAACCATATGTAACAATTGTTGTTGAGCATCTTCTAATTGTTAATTAACAGAGGTAAAGTTTAACTGTTAAACGTCATTGTTGGCTCCCAGTGTGCTTCAGTTGTGTGCCATCATGTGTGATGCGCTGTGTGGTTTGGCTTTATAAAATTGGTTCGAGCTCAGTAAGCGCAACCAGAAGTAATACATAAGGCGCACTGGGTTATAAGGCGCACTGTCGATTTTTGAGAAAATTAAAGGCTTTTAAGTGCGCCTTATAGTGTGGAAAATATGGTATATTTATTTTTATTTATATATACTTTAATAGCACATTATTATTTTTTAGTATGAAGATAATGTGTGGGGTGATTTGTTTACAAACAGAGAAACAACATTACTGAAAACAATACCATTTGTTGCACAGTACTGTACTGTACTGTACTGTACTGTACTGTGAGTGTGTTCAGCAGCAAAAACATTTGATTAATGATTTTTTTTTTTTTTTTTTTTTGAGTTTAAACGAATCTGGTCATAACTGGTTTTCTCTGTCACACAGGATTTGTTTCCACAATGTAAAAAAAGTAATAGGGTTGCAGTGTCATTTCTCTGTCAACAAAAACAGCTGATTGCACCTTTACTGTCTGATTCTTGTCTACGTGGGAAAAACGTTGCTGTAATTGTACTGAAGTACTGCAGGAAGAGAAGGAGGACACAGGAGCAAAGTGCAAATACGGCAATTGTTCCGGATCACATCTCACACCAACCACTGACATCCAGTGAAGGCTAACGCTGCCACTGCAAAATGGCAGTGAGATAAATGGACCACTGGGCAAATAATAAAAGGCCAGAGGGATCAAGCTGAAAAAAACTTTGAGTATTAAGATTAAAAATAGTCATCCAAAAATAAGTAATTTGAAAAAAAAAAATATTAAAAATGGTTCCTCTCTTTGTGGCCAGTTCGTGTGTGTTAAGACCCCTTCACTGACAGTTTCTCAGGAGCTGTAGATTCAGACACACAGGTTGAGGAGCAGCAGGTCTTCAGTCTCACCACTCATTGTTGTTGACTGCGTCTCCAAACCCTGGCGTGTCTACGATGGTCAGTTTGAGCTTCACTCCCTTCTCCTCAATGTCCACTGTGTGTTTAATGATCTCCACTGTTTGGTTGATCCTCTCTGAACAAGGGAGAAGAAGAAAGAAGATGAGAAGACGAGAATCATGGCCAATCATAGGAAAAGCCTTTATACACATGTACAAGAAATATTATATACTGTATCTGTAATCTACCCATAGAATAATCTACCTGGAGAGTAATCTACCTATATAATAATCTACCTAGAGAGTAATCTACCTAGAGAGTAATCTGCCTAGAGAGTAAACTACCTACAGAGTAATATATCTATAGCGTAATGTACCTATAGAGTAATCTACCTATATAGTAATGCACCTATATAGTAATCTATCTATAGAGTAATCTACCTATACAGTAATCTATCTATAGAGTAATCTATCTATAGAGTAATATATCTACAGCGTAATCTATCTATAGAGTAATGTACCTGTAGAATAATCTACCTATACAGTAATCTATCTATAGAGTAATCTATCTATAGAGTAATATATCTACAGCGTAATCTATCTATAGAGTAATGTACCTGTAGAATAATCTACCTATACAGTAATCTATCTATAGCATAATCAACCTATAGAGTAATCTACCTATAGAGTAATCTACCTCTAGAGTAATCTATCTACATAGTAATCTACCTATACAGTAATATGTCTATAGAGTAATCTACCTGTAGAGTAATCTATCTATAGAGTAATATATCTATAGAGTAATCTACCTATAGAGTAATCTACCTATAATGTAATCAACCTATAGAGTAATATATCTACAGAGTAATCAACCTATAGAGTAATATATCTACAGAGTAATCTATCTATAGAGTAATCTATCTATAGAGTAATCTACCTATAGAGTAATCTACCCATAGAGTAATGTATCTACGGAGGTACCAGGTAAAGACTCACCCTCGGCGTTGAGTAGCTTCCTGTCTTTGTAAAGGTCTGTGAGGAACAGGCTGTTGACCAGGGTGGACTTACCCATCCCAGACTCTCCTGTAACACAGACACACTGCAGTTACAGCCTGTGTTGATCCAACAACAGGAAATAAAACCACAGAATATTAACTATTGGATTATAAAAACACATTTAATTTTGTTGGAACCAAATGTTTGGTATGCACTGACTTCACTTCTCTTGTTTTTGTGAGTACGTGAAGTACATTTAATGTATGTATGGTGTGTTTACTGTACTGTATGATGTGATGGTAGGGGAGATAACAGAATCACTTCTCAGGATTCAACATGTTTGTGGTCAAACCAGTTCATTACAATAGGAATGTGTGGAACATTTTTGTCACAGAGTCAAAGACAGTAATCGATTGAGTGAAGCTAAAACTGTAATAAATATAATATTTAAAGACAAAACACAGTTTGACTTTGATAACAAATATAAAAATATGAAATAGAACAAATATATTTTAACAGTATTAACAAATAGATCAAATTCACATTTGGTTAATAATTGTTGGATTTTAATTTGTCAGGAAAAAGGACACAGTAGAACATAGTTTTAAATGTTCATTATAGGTTTATATTTATTTTATATTTATGTAACAATTTAAAAGATGTTTGTTCTAATACCATAAATGTGAAGTTTAAGGCATGAATAGGTTTTAAGGACAGGTTTTGTCATTATGTTTTTCTCAAACGTTGAGCTGTGTTTGGTGTCTTCAAAAAAAATTTTTTTTTTAAATATTTCTCCTTAATTTATTTTTCAAAATTGAAAAAAACATTTTAAAAAGGAAACTCTGTTCCAGTTCTCAGATGAAGCACAGACGCAGGTCGTCACCTTGTGCCAAAGACATCCCCCAGAATTCCACAGTGAAGGAATTTAACCAAAGCATTAGAGAAGAAATGTTTGGACTTAAATGGAGTGCATGAAGAGAAATAATTTTTTTTGAAGATTTATTTTTTTCTATATTTAATTTGTCTCTGGAACCTTTCATGTTACCCTTAAAGGAAAACTTTTTATTGGGAAATCTATGCACAGAACAAGACTGGGGTTTAATTTTTCACAGAAAAAATAAAATTAAAATTAAATCAAACGTTCTTTAATGCAGCAGAAATGGGCTGTATTCAAACATTAATGATCTCTTTATATTTCTTAACTGTTCATCTACAGACTGACCTGCGACCATCAGAGTGAAGTCGAAACCTTTCTTCACAGACTTCCTGTGGACCTGGTTGGGCAAAGTGGCAAAACCCACATATTGTTTTTCCTGAACAGCAAAAGACACAAAAGAGGAAAAACAAGACAAGTGTTAACACTGCGATTATACCTGACGTGAGAGAATAAATGTAAGGTCAGTCAATCAGTTCATTTAAGAGACAAAAACATATACCAACATATACATTTAAATACATACTGACATTTTTTTTACACTATTCCTTAGAAAGGAGTAAAAATAAAGATTTCTGTGGAGGACGAAGTCAATGTTGAGTCACTTAATTATACAGTGGAACCTCGAGATACGAGCAAGCCTTCAAACAAATCATTGCTTCGAGATACGAGTAAAGACTCGAGGTACGAGCACACTTTCATAAACTGACACTAGGTGGCCGAGCACGTGGAGCAGCCCACGCCGCATCAGTCGTTCACTTCACGTGTTCGTCGACTTCTGTACGCCTCTCCTGTGAGTCTTTTGTATTGTGTTAGGTTAATTTAATTTTAAGTTTATGTAAGTTACGTAGTGTAAGGTACCCTACGGAATCAAGTGTCTATGTACGGGCCAACTCTCTCCACTCCCTTCCTCCCTCGTCCTCCTCCCCTCATATCTCCATTAGCCTCTACTGTATCGTCTGTCTCGAAGGAAAGAACTCATCATTAAAACTACATTTTATTTTGTATCACAGATATCTTAATATAATATATATATATTTAGTTTTCTGTGAGCAATTCAAATTATTATTATTATTATTTAATTATCATTAAAATTATAATTGAGATTATCTTATGACTAGACACAAATAAACGTTTGCAGATTACGGCTACGATATGCTGTAAAATGTCAAAACAATTGTTGCCTTTTATTGAGTAGTTTTCCATGTTTTCTCTCTGTCAATGATTAAGAAAACGTCAGCTCAAAAATAGAAGCAGACACAGAATAATTGTATTTTTAATGGGACTGCAAATTAAAACCGGCTGCTTTTGATGCTATTAAATCACCACAAAAGATGGTCTGGGTTCGTAACAGAAAATTTACGAGTACATGGAAAAACACGTGTGCGACATTCCTCCACCGGCATCCGAGAGAAGTCAGAGTTTCTCAGATTTTCCAAAAAATGTGTGAGAAACACAGAGAGACAACAGGACAGCAGCGTCTCACAGAGTGGGACAGTAGCTCTCAGTGCTGCGTTTGGCACAACGTCATGTCCGCCGCACAGCACTGCTGCGTGCTGACATGTGTAGATATAAATACACACTCGAGGCCCCACAGCCACTGTTCACACACACACACACACACACACAGAGAAGCTGCTTTCAACAGAACTGAAAAGCTCTTCTTTAACTGTGCAAACACTCCTGTCCAGCACGCAGTCAGCATCCGCACACACTGTCAAAACTTGTCACAGGCATTTCCGACAGCTCCGACTGTTCAGGACTGCACACACACACACACGCACAGACAGCCAACGTTTTTTTTTTGTTTGTTTTGTAAGCAAATCACAACGACAAAATGCATTCCTCAGACCGTGGCTTTGGAATGAACTATTTCAAATATATTACCAATCTTTTTCTTTATCTTAACTGAAAACTAAACCTGACTCCAAGATTTAACATTAGAAAAAATTAGTGAGGACCCAGAAAATGTCACCGTAAAGACAGTTGTACCAGACACACACATACTGGTGTTAATGACTTGTAGGGACAAACTTTTATTTTGATCATCATCTGTTTCTTCTTCACTTTTCATTGCAACACAAATTGAAAATCCAGAGACCAGAGTTTTGAACCAGCCATGGAACATGACAACATGTCCTATAAAAGACATCAATCTGTCCATGAATTTAAAATCAAATCTTTTCTCAGATATTTGGCAAAAACCTAAATGTTAATAAAAGTCCTGAAATACATATATCTTGAATGTCCTTTGCCATGTTGAGCAAATTATTTTTAAATGTTTTCTCCATCACATGTGACACAATGGAAAGTGATGTAGGATGATTACAGATAAGCAGAGTCACGAAGAAGAAGTAATGGGTAAAGTTTGCCAAAAACATAAAAATGGGTACTGGCAAAACGTACGTCAAAAACAGCTAAATAGCAAAAACATCACAAGACCCAGATACCACACAGAGTTAATCTGTTAAAATATAAAGATGTAGCGAGAATGTAGCAAAATAGCTAGTAGCTAGCCAAAATTGCTAACAGAGAACTACATGATAAACAGCTTTTTTTGGTCCTTGTATTGTAGCAGGTCCTCACGTGATGTTTGTTCCCACAATATCATAAATACCAGTGTACACACGCACACAGAAAAACATGCAGGCAGTGCAATAACTGCATGACACATAAACACACACACACTCACACACACACACACACACACATACACACACATTGCCAAAGAGCCATGAATCAAAATGAAGGGAAGCTGTTAATAAGTCAAAACATTTTGGAAAGTTTCTGCAGTGAATCTGTCTCAACACAAACAGCTAACAAAGATAAAACCCAGTCCAAGGTGGAGATCACACCATGATGCTGTCAAATCCTGGTATCCTACGCTGGATCACGACATTTTTCTGATATCCTAAACTCCAAGATTCCTCTCTGTTGGTTTTGGCTTGACTCAAATCTTGACCTTTACCTTTTGTCTGGCCGTTCTCACTCGCGGGCACAGCAGCCTTTCCACCAGTTTTTCTTGCAGCATGATGGCATCCATCCTAAACCACAGACCAAAACAGCCACGGGTCTCGGAAAGCAACGACAAAACCCAGGCAGGTATAAAAAACAAAAAACAAAAAAAAGAAAACCCTGCAGATTTTCACAGGAAAAACGCTTGAAACCGATGTGTGTCTCTGTCTACGTGCCCTCCTGGGTTCCTTCTCTCGATGATACCACTTTCTTTTTCCTGCCCTCTTACGCTTTCTCTCTTTCCTACGTTCCTTCCTCCGCCCTGCAGCTCTCAGAGTTTCCCTGTTCAGACAGGTACGAAGGAATTCTCACTGAGAGGGAGGGAAATGTGAATAGAGGGAGTAAAAGAAAGGGAGACAGAGAGAGTGAGAGAGAGCGAGACAAGTGAGAGGTGGCAATTTGAGAAAGGAAACGGGGCAGGGATGGAAGAGAAAGAGAGAGAAGTCTAAAAGAAAGTCATTCATTCAGACTCCATGCCCTCCCCCAGTTCAGACTGGTAGAAAATAAAAGTCTGTGCTGAGGGAAATGAACATCTGGAAGAGACGGCGCAGACGGGCAGACAGCGTAAACAGCTCTGCCCAGTGTAAAATAATGTGGAACAATAGAGGCGTTGTTGGGAGAATGCCATACGATCGCAGAAATAAGCAACGGCCGCAGACTCAAAAGCTCCACAAGCTCAGGCCTGTGGACCGATACCTGATCGCTGTGATTATCAGAAAGGTTCACCTGTCAGTCTGAGGTGTTGGTGTCTGTGTTCAACAATAACAGTCTGGACAGAAGACGTTACTGCACTTCAGCTGCACGTCTGAGAAAATGTCCCTGTGCCTTGATACATGTGATTTTTTTTTTCTTTCCTTCACCACAAAATTCTCTTCTGGGTCATAAAGGAAGCTGGAGCCAATCCTGGAAATCATCTGGTGAGGGCGGTGTTCTAACCTGAGAAGTTCACCAGTCCATCACATCTCCATATATAGAAACACAGCCTTTCACACTCAGATTCACGCCGTGGTCAAGTTAGGGTGAAAAGTTAAAATCATGAATCAACTTCCACCGAGGCTCAAACCGGTGACCTTCCTCTTAAGTGAGGCTAGTCCACTGTGTTGACCCATGACAAAAGAAAATTAGCTAACAAAATATTTTTATTTTGTATTTAAGTTGTTCAAACATTTACATTTGAAAGGGCTTAACTTCATATCAGCAAATTATTTTATCATCCATATCGTGTTCTTTTTCAGTCCCCGAGCCTTATGTTAGTTGAAGAAAAAAACTGTCAAGAAAAAACAACTTTGTAATGGCTCGCATGAAACAAAATCCCAAAATACTTTTATCTGCCCTGGAAGGTCTGAAAATAAGCTCTTATGGTGAATGTATGGTGTAATTTGAACAGAAATGATGACGGTTAAAAAAAGACACGCTTTCGCTGAGCTAGAGGTTTAGCTTGAGTGTGTGTGTGTGTGTGTGTGTGTGTGTGTGTGTGTCACAGAGAGCGTGTGTCTGTGAAGAGGTGAATGAGGAATATCATGTCATGGCAGAGGTTGGGGTTGATTGTTTCCAGATGTGGCGGTTGTGTGTGTGTCAGTGTGTGTGTGTGTGTGTGTGTATAAAACGTGGGTGTGTCCGTCTCCAACATGATGTGGGCAGCAGAACTTCAGTCCTCTGTGAAATAAAAGCAGCTAAACATCCTCCACCAGCCCCCAGTGAGAGAGCCAGTGACCGTGCCACGTACAGGATGTGACAGTACCGCTCTACTCCACAGGAGGGAGACAAAGGCTTTTCACTCTTCATGACTTAAACGCATGCGAACGAGGGCGAGTCTGTCGAGGCTGAGAAAAAGAATAGAACAGATGTCTCAAAATACTATCACAATAGTCTTTACCACCATTAACCCCCCCCCCACCTCCCCGTTCCACCCCCCAAGCTGTTATACACATGCAAAACGGGATTATAAATTAGTTTAGGGACCAGGACCTGATCAGTCAGGGGAGACTTTGATGAGTTCTCTGAAACATAGTTTTCCTGTTAATCCTATTCTATAACATATACAACATGTTAATGTGTGCTGATGCTAAATGTGCTGATATTTCCAGACTGCATTCTTCTACGGCTGAGGTTTATAATATTCTATTCTTATTTTCATATGTTTAGCCTGTTGTTGTTTCGCATTTATTCAAAATATACTTTGTGCCTCACTCTGACAGTTGAGAATAACTGGCTGGAATGTTGTCATGTGCCAATTTTATGAGAATAAAAGGGGATTTTTGACCCTTTGTTTTCTAATTTTATTTTACAATAATGCTAAATGATGCAAACTGTGAAGGTTCTTTTCACATTGACTCAGCTTCGGCAGAGAAATGAGAACCAACCATTAGAAGTCGCTATAAAACCTCCCCTCAGAGGAGAACCATGATTGTGGAAATGAGCCACCTGCTGGTGTCGGCCTGGTCATAACATGACTTCCTCCAGTAATTTTGGACAGCCTGTGTCGGAGCAGTGACCTTCTCTCCTCATCTCACAGACGTCCAGCTGACACTTTCACACCATTAACCCTGAGAGCTTCTGCTGAACTGCTGCCTGTACTGACCAGTCAGAGAGGCTACAGAGGGGACCAGTGAGAGATAAGGGATGAGGGGCGTTAGGACAGAAGGAGGGGGTAATGAAGACAACATAAACAGAGTTTGAGCTCTCTTCCTCCTCCCCCTTCCTCCCTCCACTTGTGTTTTCTCTCCCTGGAGTTGGCTGCTCTTGGCTCCTCAACATGCTAATCTAGCAGCATGTAATTGCTCAGGCAACAATTGAATGGCTCCACTGGAGAACACTCAGTCGAGGGGCCAAGTTTTAGCATCCGCCTATTCAGTCAGAGCAAACACTTGTGGCAGCACCGTGTCCATGAACTTGAACAGAGGGGATTCTATCTGTGTAAAGTTAGCATGAAAGACCGTATTTTAAAAAATGTTAAAGAGGTTTTTGTTTATTATTTATCCTAAAATCAGAGAACGCTGGAATCACCCTTAAAAATATGTAAAAATATCCCTTAGTAATTTTTAAAGGGTCAGATGAAGTGATGTCCAACAATATCAACCGACCGATTATTGTCGTTTTTTTCCTCCGATAATGAAAACCCGATAATCCGGGTTTGGCCAAATTATGTGTGCCCTAAAAATATATTTATAAATATAAATATATTTAAGTGAACGTCACTAGATGGCAGCATAGCAGCTCATTTAATAAATCTCATATTTAGATTTTATAGATATTAAATGTTATTAAGGGCAATATCGACCTATTGGATATCGGCAAAAAGTTAATATCGGACATCTCTAGTCAGAAGTGTTCATCAGTATTATCGTGCTCATCTATGAGCATCTACCAGGAAACTACAGGGCAGATAGGTGGCAGCCATGTAAATCGTGTGATGCGGAGCTGTTATTCAAATCATCTGAGGTGAGACACTGGGGCTAATGTTTGAATTTAATGTGTTACAAAATAAGGCAGATTTAAAAAGCATTTTAAAAAAACAACCAACTTCCGCCTTTTTTTAAAAAACCTAACGTTTCCAAAAACAACCCCATCACTGCACTTGATTTCAAAGTAAGAGTACAGTAACCATGACGACTGTGGTCAGTGTGACGGGTGGTTTCATTTTTTGTCCTTTTGCTATAGTTAGTCATATTACAGCGTGTGTATTATTCTGTATGTGGATTACAGTAAGTAAACAGTGAGTGGATTCTCTTTGAATGTAAATTAGCAAAAACAAAGTAAATTTTTTTTTACTGTATCCCTCTGCGGCCTAGTACTACCAAATTATCTACGACCAGTGTTTCCCAAAAGTTTTTTTCTGGGGAGCCATATTTTAAAACATATTTTCACAAACCTTCCTGACCCAAGTCAACAGACATTATTGGTAAACTCCTGGGAAACATGATGAGAGATGACCCCCCAAAAAATCCCTTGTGACCCACCTGAGGGTCGTGACCCAGTCTTTGGGAAACAATGATTTATGGTACCGGTCCATGGGCTGGAGATTGGTTATCCCACAGTTAAAACAACTAGCCCTCTCTTGAACCCATCGGTCACTCTTGCAACACATAATCACTGTCTTGTCACTGTAAATGTACATACGCAGTACATACGCAGTACATACGCAGTACATACGCATTACCTCACTCCTCTAGAAAGTGCAGCTGTTTTTCACCTTCTCTTCAGACTTTTGTTTCTTAGTTTCTATTCTGTTTTTCAGTTTCTGTTTCAGATTCTGTTTTTATTTGTTGGCACAAAAAAATAAATAAAAACGAAAAAATACAATTTTAAAAGAATGTCATTTCTACTTCTTCATTTGGCTGTAAACCAGTGGTTAATGGATTTATCACAACTTAGTTAGACTAACTTAGTAGACTTCCTGGCTGGTCTGACAGCGAGTATGAACAGATTTGTTAAATATTTAGTTAAATATTTCTTGAACACAGCCGCTCTCGTTGTTGTCTCTTTTTTTTTGTCAAAAAGCGGAAGCCACGTGGGGGCTGCAAGCCTCAGATTTAACATCCCAACCCCCCAGGACAAATCCGTCCCTGCTCTGCAGCTGGTCCTCACCCACAGACCGGGGGGCTCATTTGTGAGAGTGTTTTTGAAGTGATGTCATACTTTATCTGTTTTTTTCTCACCAACTGGAATATAAAACTAAAGGTTTTATAAAATTGATGGAAAAAAAAAGATTTTAAAACAAACAAATAAAATATTTTCTTCTTCATCTTCTTCTCTCTCTGTGCCTCAGCCTGGTTGGCTGCAGATATGAGATGAGGGTCAGATGCTGTAGTACAGTGTATGTGGGAGTGAAGAGTGGACCACAGCCAGCAACAAGCCCACAGGGCAGAAAACCAGTGTAGTAATATATGACTGAAATACTACGAGGCTGTTTGGACCTACGGGAGTTTTTTTTTTTTTTTTTTAAAAAAAATCAGTCGATCGATCGATATTTACAGTTTCTTCAACTGGAACATCTGATTGGTTCCAGATAAGAAATAATAAATGCTACAAATGATCCATAGAGTCTGAACTACGAATATTGTTTGGAATGAAAGAGTGGCTGCAGTGTGTCTGTATTTGTCCTGATGGATGGATGATAGATGGATGGACGATAGATGGATG